ATATAACCCAGCCTGTTCTTGAAATATCTATGTTCCACTCCTCTCTAGGTGTGCCATCCAGCAGTAAAGAAGCCTGTTTGCGACCTTTGTGTACATTTTCTGAAGTTCCCACCTTTACCCAATCAATCATCTTCTGCCCGAGGGCGTTATTTCCCCAGGTTGTCTGATAAGAAATCGTCTTCCCCTAGCCTAGCGAGAGGCCGTTGGGGATAGTGACACAATCCGGAAAATGTGACCACCATCTCTTCTTTCTTTCCACCAAGAACCCGCTGGCATGTCGACCTCCTACTTTTCGATAAGAAACAACGGCGGACGCAGAACGTTTTGAAACCCTAAAGGCAACAAAACTAGCGTGTCGGCAAGGAAATCGCGCTCCAACTCGAAATGAGCAATTTCGGTCCAAAATATCCGTTGGGCATTTTCTTTTCTTTTTTGTTTTCCCCTCTGACACCGCGGCCGACCCCTGTAAATATGACACCTGGTCTGACACCGCGGCCATCGGTACTTCCGTCGCCTTTTCTAACTCAGCGTTTTTTTTCTTTGCCGGCACTTTTTTTTTTTGCCTATTAGACACGCAAAGGTACATTGTGACGCCCAACCTCACGCCCGGCGCGACTTCCTGATCGGAGTGGGAGTGGGCCTGGAAGTGCGAAAAGGGGTGTGCCAAGGATTTTTGGAAAGTGGGGGTGGAGTCCCAGGTCGGAACTGAGATCTCCTGTGGCAAGTTTTTGGGATAGGAATGCAAGGGGATGGGTTCAGGTCGGAATCTGTTTCTATGCTTCGGAACGTGGGGCTACCACCTCTGTGGGTTTCGTCGTATGGGTTGGGCTCATATTTGGTGCACAGTTGGGACGCTATGGCTATCGTGTTGTCTGACCACTTGTCGGCGTCGTGCGTCACTGGTCTCAGAATCCGACGCGGCTGGCCTTAGCCGAAGGCTGTGTCCCCGTCGTTCTTCCTCTGAGCGAGTTCGTCGGATGAAATAGGAGGCTCGATACTTGTGGTCTTGCAAGCACTCCGAGCACGGGGGTTGGGGCCAATACGGAGTGATTGCACGCTAAGGGATGATGGTCAACAAATGGAAGGGCAGTATGAGGTGGTAGGGAGGGAAGTCGGTTTCCATAATAATTACTCCTGGTTCCGCGACAAGGTGACACGTGCACGAGCTGGGGAATTCTGGGGGTTGGGGTATGCACTCTTGAGCTCGGTCGATGTCCCACTCGCAGATACGTTCGTTTCCCACTGGGTATGGAAATTCAGGAAGTTCTCCCCTCAGTCATGTAGACAGACACACGTGCTCCCAATACTCTCGAAATTTCGGATCCCTCAGACATTCGCTGTCAGTAATACGAAAAGGGAGTTCAATATTCATGTTGTGGGGTGAGGCGGAAACTCAGTCATTCGGAAAGTTGGACCGAGCGCAGGCACTATAGACACGTGTGTAGGCCACGTTCTTCTGATCGAGCTTACACGTACGTGCACACGGCCTGCCCTTCGGTCTGATGGACAAAGACCAATGGCCCGAGTCTCGTACGCGCTGGCCTGTTAACCAAGGGAAGGGGGGGGGGGGGGTAGTCTTATCGCGAGACAGTCATC